TTCTCTTTCTCTCTCTCTCTCTCTCTCTCTCTCCCTCCCTCTCTCTCTTTGTCTCTCTTACTCACTTAAGTAAAACTCCCTTTCGATCTACGATCGATCTACCATAGAAAGTAATTTCCTCGCGTGTAACACGCAACTATCGTAACAATACCTTGTGAATCTTTCCCCAATTAAGTGTCGGAAGTTCGATCAGGTGCAAAATACAAGAGCGCGCACGTGTGTTCACCTTCGTCAGTTTGGATGAAAGATAGAAAGAATAAGAGAGAGAGAAAGAGAGAGAGAGAGAGAGAGAGAGAGACTAACTTCCTAATATACTATATTCTCTCTCTTTCTCTTTCTTTTTTTTCTTTCTTTCCTTTTTCTTTCTTAACCAAACGACATTCAGTAACAGATTATTCCAAGAAGAATAATAATTCTGTAATTTCAAAAGAGAATGGGGAGAGAGAGAGAGAGAGAGAGAGAGAGAGAGAGAGAGATAGATAGAGAAACCTTTTTCGCGACTAATTCCGCAGGTGTACGGTGGTCCCTTCTGCTGAGGAACGTCTGATCGTCAAAGAAACATGCACTAGGTGGAGGAAGGATAATGTAAGGATAGCAACCAACGCAGACGGCTTAAGGTGTGTCCAAAAAAAAAAAATTGAGAGAGAGGGATAGTGAACTTGAGAAACATGTTTAAGAAATTTAAGGACATAAGTAACTATTCTCTGTCGGCGGTATTAAACTTCAAAAAATAACAAATATCTACGGATTCGTTCGGTAAATAATTTTTTTTCCTTATTTTTTTTTTTAATTAATTTGTTCACAACGATGATAACAAAAAAATACTTTTCTTTCCTCTTATCAAGAATTCATAAGATCGATTATCGCAAACAAGGAATGGACAAGGATCGATATTTTTGTATCTCCTCTGTTTAATTTCGGTCGATAATTTTTTTATAAAAAAAGAAGAAAAGAAAAAAATTAAATAAAAAGCTTGACCATCGCAATAATGTATAATAAGAATTAATTCCTCTATTTTGTTTTTCATTCTTTATTTCTCTCTCTCTCTCTCTCTCTCTCTCTCTCTCTCTCTCTCTCTCTCTCTTCAAACTAGCTTCTATTTAAATAATTTTGATCAAATTGATACGGTAAGAAGATCAATAATCACGATATACCGAATAACAAGGATCGATAATACGTTTTCTTTTTGTAAATAATAATTGATTAACGCGAGATTAAATAGAAGAGTAATATTTTGCGAGATGTGAAATGAATGATTGTTATTTCGATTGAAAATCATATTTATCGTTTTCTCTCATAATATCTTTTGACGTTTTAATATCTAACACTAACAATAAGAGGGATGAGGGAAGAGGAGGCATCGCAAACTCGTTTGGCAGTTAGCGAGTCCTTCCGAGTATCAAGGATGAGAACGCGACGTGTTGGTGGACAGGACGATGGTTAAACGCGATGCTATTCTCAGTAGTAGAAGAAGAAGAAGAAGAAGAAGAAGAAGAAGAAGAAGAAGAAGAAGAAGAAGAAGAGGAAGAAAAGGAATAATAATAATAAGAAGAAGAAGAAGAAGAAGAAGAGGAAAATGAAGATGAAGAAGAAGGTGGAGGAGAAGAAGAAGAAGAAGGAAAGATGCTCCCGGCTAAAGTCTTTCTCTGTTTGATCTTTAGCTCCTGCCGCCTTATACACTGACCTATATTTGCTGGAACCGGGTCTGCTCGAGTAGACCCACTACCCCGAAGAGAGAAGAGAACATACGACACCACACACACTCGTACAACCAGACAGACAGCAGCGGATACTAACACGCAGATACTAACTCTCATATACACGTAACCACCGTAGTCCCCTTTTTCATCGATCCTCCGATCTCACTCAACCGCGTAAGTTTTTATATCGATGATTTAAAAAGAAAAAAGTAAAGGAGAGAGAGAGAGAGAAAAAAAGGAAAGGAAAATTCCAATTTCCATATACTTTAGATACATGATATATATAATATTTTATGATATAATTTCAATTGAAAAAAATTTGCAATAATAATCATCGAACGTTTGATATATTATCGATCGAATATGAATATGAATTTTGTTCTTTTTCTTTTTCTTTTATTTTCCTTCGTTTCCTCCTTTTCTTTTCTTTTCTTTTCTTTTCTTTTCTTTTCTTTTCTTTTTTTTTCTTTTTTTTTCTTCTTCCTTTTTGTTTATATTTCTTTTCTCTTGCCTTTTTCCTTCATCTTTCATCTTTCCTTTTGAACATGCTTATTAAGGATAATTATATAAAAAAAAGCGCGTTTTAATAATATCGTTCCTTCGATTGGTTTCAATCTTAAAATGATTTCAACGAATAATAATCATACGTTATCACGAAATATTTTCGTCGAAGAAATATTTTCCCGTTCGTTGATACGTTTATATTCCATCATTAAACACGCCGTTACGTGGCTCGCTGGTAATTAGCAACACCGGTAAATGAGATTAAAATCGCGAGAGAAGAGGAGACTCACTTCTTGCCGAATATTCGCGGATCTCTCTCTCTCTCTCTCTCTCACGCTATCTATATGTAGGTATAATTAAAGGAGGAGTTTAATTAACTTACGTATGATTCTCAAGCTTCTTCTTTCGAGGAAAAATAAAAAGATAAAAAGAAAAAAAAAGATAAAAAAGAAAGAATGCATAAAAAGTAAAAAAATAGAGGTGAAGATAAAAAAAATAAGCTCGAAAATTTTCGTACTAATTAATCGCTTTCTTTAGAAAGTCGATGCCAATTCTCGTGGGTGTTACAAACAAAATCAACTGTAAACACGATGAAAGAAACAAATAAACAAAAATATAAATTTGACATTTCATTTATTATTATTACTTATCAGTATCGAAAGTCATTAATGAAATTCCAAAATGAGTATAATAATCGACAGCCTTGGTATATATATATATATATATATATATATATATATATATATTATACACACTTTTTCATATACGCGATCATATACATTTACTTAAATATCTTGCAACATGCTTTTAAGATAACTCCTACTTCGCTTGAAATGTACATGGATAAAAAAAAGAGGGAGACAGACAGATAGACAGAGAGAGAGAGAGAGAGAGAGAGAGAACATCATGCTTAATAACTTTTACACGCACGTTCAAGCTTTTACTTTGGATAGTTCGGATAATGGAAACGACTTCCATTATCGATAATTTTATCCTCCTCCGGAAGAGATAAGTACATAGACGGTGGTGACATAAACTGTGGATTTTAAAGAGAGGTCTACTGTTTCTCTCTTTTTTTTCTCTCTCTCTCTCTCTCTCTCTTTTTTGTCTTCTTCTTACTCTTTTCCGTTTTCTTACTATTCTTGTTTTTCCTTTTCTTTTTCTTCTACAAATAGGTAAAAGTGAAACGCGATAAATATTATTACAAATGATCATAGAAAAAATGCAACGACGCATAAGCTATTATACCGTCATTATATAGGGTATGATTATTAAGAGTAAATAAATACTTCAAAAGTGTGCTTGGAACAATCAGTTCGAATTTTTTTATTTTTTTTTCTTTGATATAAATTACGATCCAAGTAATTTTGCCAGTGTGTATTGTAGAAAGAAGAAGAAGAAGAAAAAGAAAAAGAAGGAGAAAAAAAGATTTAAATACAAGCCATTAAATTATGTCCATGAGAAGATTGGAAACGATTTGTCGATAAAAAACGATCTGGTGAACGTTTTATAGACATCGTTATTAAAATCATGTTTCATGTTAAATGATCAAAATAGGAAAATAGTCTGTTACGAGGACAATCAGATTACATTGTATAATCCTTCGTACCGAGAATAATGATTATGCGTGGGGAGAGAGAAAGAGAAAGAGAGAAGGAAAAGAATTGACAATAGTGTAGAAATATTTAATCGAGAACCTTGGACAGTGTCCTAGTTTCGAGAAACGCTGCATTACGTCGAGCCCCTATCGAATGAAAGAAAGAAAGAAAGAAAGAAATAAAGAGAGAAAGAAAAAGAGAGAGAGAAAGAGACGAAAGATAGAAGCTTTATGCGGCATATAATATAAAAGAGAAGGATAGAAATAGCGAAAAGTATGTTCATGCCGAACCAGACCATATTCCATTTTCAGCTCGAACAAGCTCTATCTCTTTCTCTCTCTCTCTCTCTCTCTCTCTCTCTCTCTCTTTCTTTCTCTCTTTCTCATTAGCACTCCTGACCCTTCAGCAGACCAGGCGAATGATGGTGACGACGACGACGACGACGACTATAACTACGACGACGAGAAAGTAAAGGGTCGGTGAATGCAGCTGCAAATGAGAGGAGGCACCACCAATCCCAATGTCGTTTGCACAAGGTAGTTCTCTATGAAAGATGCAAAGCGTTGAATGAAAACCACTATGTCGGTTACGTGGGCATATCGAGGACGAACGAGAAAGATAAGGTGAGAGGGAGAGGAAGAGGAGGAGGGTGCTTTGATCAAAGATACCCACGATACTCCCGTTTACTTTCCCTCCAACAGAGAGTTGTGCTCCTCTTTTGAAGAATCCATTTCTCTTTCTCTTTTCTCATAAAAAAAAAAAAAGAAAAAGAAAAAAAGGAAAAAAAAGAAATAGTAACAACCTTACGTGCGATGAATATTAGAAATAACGGGTCGGTGAAATAGAAGAAGGGAGAACAAAAAAAAAAAAAAAAAGAGAGAAAGGAAAAAGAAGAGGACGAAAAAAAAAAAAGAAGAAGAGTAATAAAACAAATAAAAATTAAATTCGTTCGACGTATTATATAAAAGGTAAATACCTTAAGTATATATATCAATGACGATCTAACGTATTAAATTGTAGAAGTTGTTGCGAACGGAGTATCACGTAATATTGCGCAACATTGTGATTGGTCAATTGAATACAAGTAAGTACGTAGTACGTATTATACATAAGTTATGTACTTACTTAACGTACGTATTAACATATATATTTACTTATATTATTTATACATGTATTTAAATAGATATAAAGTACTCACCGGTTTATTGGGTAAAGCCGAAGTAGAGGCAGCGATGCTTCGATCAGTAGGATGATGATCGTTCTCGTAATCGTCACGATGATGCCTAACGCCGGTAGCGTAAGTCTCTCTAACGTCTCTTACATCCCTTACGTCCCTGAGGTCCCTGAGGTCGCGGAAGTCGCGTAGGTCGCGAGGTTCTCGCTGGTCGCAGCGGCTCACGTGGTCCCGTTCACCGCGAGGCTGCCTCGACATCGCCGTGGGCTCCTCCTCCTCCGAGTCGAGCAGCAGCTGCTCGACTCCTCCAACACCACCTCCTCCTCCTCCTCCTCCTCCACCTCCTCCTCGACCTCCACCGTCGTCGTCGTCGCCGCCGCCACCACCACCTCCGACGCCTCCTCCCCCGCCACCACCAGCAGCAGCTCCGCGTCGGGCGGGATGACGCCGGAGGTCACACCATCCTACCTCCTCCTCCCCCGCCCCTCCAGCGAGCTCGCCACGGGCCAACCGAGCCGTGCCTGGAGCCCTCACGACCGATCTGCCTCTGACAACCTCCTGCCCCCGCGACTCGACGGGGGCCTCCACCACATCACACTTATACCCTAAACCACCCCGACGACACTTTTTCCTTTACTCGACGACACACTGCCGATATCTAAACACTTCTTTCTGTTCGAAAGGAGGAGGAGAAGAGGTCAGAGCGAAAGAGCGAGAGCGAGAGAGAGGGAGAGAGTGAGAGAGAGAGAAAGAGAGTGAGAGTGAGAGAGAGAGAGAGAAAGAGAGAGAGAGAGAGAAAGAAAGAGAGAAAATAAAAATGATAAAGGAAAGAATGAAAGAAAGAAAATGGAATAATAGAAGAAAGAAAAAAAAAAAAGATGGACCGTATTAAATTCACCTCTCCCTCCCTCTCGCTCGCTCTTTCTCTCTCTCTCACTCTCTCTCTCTCTCTCTTTCTCTCCTCTCTCTCTCTCTCTCTTCCTCTCTCTTTCTCTCTATCTCTAATTTTCTTCTTCCAGTTTCCAACTTTTATCTTCTTTCTGTAAACACAATATATACGTTGGAATTTGTTATTAGTTCTCTTCAATCGGTATATATATACATACATATATATATATATATATACAAATATATATATATATAAAATTTCGATATAATTTCTAATTAGTATATCAAAGTAATCGTTAACATACAGCTTACTCGACGTTACACGCTCTACTGATACTACCGACAGAGACGATCTCTATCGAACGTGTCCTATAAAATTTACCTTTTTTCAAACCATTCCCTCTCTCTCTCGCTCTCTCTCTCTCTCTCTCCAATTCTATATCAACATCTTATCCTACTCAGTTTCTCCTCGTTTCGTCCTAACACCCTTCAGCATCCAATGATATTCGAGGTTTGTTTTGATTTCGTCATCGTTCCAATCGCGAATATTACCCCGTATTTATTTATATATATATATATATATATATATATATATATATATATATATCATCGTATCATGAGAAAGTTATTTCAATGTCAAAATGTCGTTGTCTAGATACTTTATAAATTCGTTTGAACATTCTAAATGAATGATTCTACGATCTTTTTCGTAAAAATGATTAATCCTTGCACGAAGATTTTCAATAGCAATCTAACGCAACTATGTAACTACGTATCCGGCGGTGTCTTGAATCGTAGCGTTAAAGAGAGAGAGAGAAAAAGAGAGAAGAGAGAGAAACGACGTATAACGTTACATAAAGGTCAACGTATCTTCGATACGTTATATCACGTCGTTCGCCGACCTCGACCGTCGAGGTAGAATTCCGAAGCAGTACAACCGACTGAAGGAGGAAGGTGAAAAGCATATCCTTCGTGCTGACAGTGTTATGCGATCTCTCTCTCTCTCTCTCCCTCTCTCTATCTACCTATCTATCTGAAAGAGAGAGAAAGAGAGAGATAAATAGATAGATAGATAGAAAGAAAGAGAGAAAGAAAGAGAACGGAAGTGTGCCTGCTTTTTCTTTCTCTTTTTCTTGCCAAGGTCGAACCTCCAGTTGCTACTTTCTTAACAAAATGAAGAAAGAAAAAGAGAAAGATTGAAGTGGAATGACGATGACGATGACGTTAATAACGACGACGACGTTCAATCGAAAAAGTTGAAAAAATGAAATTGATAAAGTCAATTTCGAGTGTTGACTTTTTAATAGCTAATAAGAATAGGAAATGGAAAGCCTCGGCGCCCAAGGTATAGCAAGTTGAGGTTAGGTCACGCCGCAGATCCACGAATGTAGGGCTGTGGGTCGCGCCCGGTCGAGCTCAGCTGCGCTACGAGCTGAAGAAGAAGAAGGGTTACAAGCACCAATCGAGGATGTAACGCGCACGAACCGTTCGTCTACCTGCCTCGATTTTTTTCTCTTTCTCTCTCTTCTTTCTTTTCTTTCTTTTTCTTTTTCTTTTTCCTACCCCCTACCCCTTGTCAATATATATATATATATATATATATATTTATATACATATATGTATGTATAATTTCTCGTATATTTCCATTACGCCCTATTACTATTCCTGTACATTTTTTCTTTGATAAAAAAAAAACAAAAAAAAAACAGAAAAAAAGAAAGAAAAGAAAGAAAGGAAGGAAGGAAGGAAGGAAGGAAGGATACAATTTTTTTTTAACACCATTTTATCCTGATCTAACGATAGTGAACGTTTAGATTTAGTAGAGCGTGTACATCGACGGGTGCAAGAGCAAATTAATTGATTAATTAATGAATAATTAAAAAAGAAAAAGAGAGAGAGAGACAGAGAGAGAGAGAGAGAGAGAGAGAAAGAAAGAAAAGAAATAGAAGAAACGAAAAGGGAAAAAGCTTTAATCTTGAAGCTTCCATCTTCTTCCTCTTCTTTTCTCTTTTTTCTCTCTCCTTTTTCCTCCCTCTCTCTTTTCTATTTTCTTCTTCTTTTTTGTTTCTTTCGCGGTTAAATCACATTTCCATTCAAACTTACTGTATAACTCTTATCCCACGTAGTTTTCCACTTGTCTTCTACACAGTGAACTCGACGAACCTGTCACAAACCCGCGCGCGGACGTACGTACTTACGGTCGATCGGTCGTTCGTTCGTTCGTTCGTTCGTACGTTCGTTCGGTCGGTCGGTCGGTCGTTCGGTCGGTCGGTCGGTCGGTCGGTCGGTCGGTCGATCGGTCTGTCGGTCTATCGGTCGATCGGTCGATTCACAAAGATTCTTCTTTCTATTTTCTTTCCTTCCCCTTTTTCTCTTTTCTTTTTTTAATATATCACGATTAGGCCGGCCAACCAACCAGTTAAAAAAAGCCTCTCTTCCTCGTAGTATTTAATAATATTTGACAACGCGCACCTGAAGAAGATCTGTTTCTTCTCTCTTTAGAAATCGGGTTAGCGAAAAATTTATGTAGTTATGTCCGTATAGCGTTACTCTGCTTGTATGTATGTGTGTATGTATGTATCTTTCTATCTCTCTCTCTCTCTCTCTCTCTCTCTCTCTCTCTGTTTCTCTCTCTCTCTCTCTCTCTCTCTCTCTTTCTCTCGCTCTGTCTATCTGTCTCTATCTGTCTGTTAGTCTGTCTGTCTGTCTGTCTCTCTGTCTGTCTGTTTGGTCTTTCCTTCCTTCCTTTCTTCCTTCTTTCTTATTGGAAAACAACAATGATAATAATAACAACAACAGTAACAACAACAACAACAACAATAACAGCGGCAGCAACGAGAACCAAGAGAAAAAAAAAAAGAAAAAAGGGTGTATCTTCTGTCTGACGTAGGAAGAAAACGTCGAAAGGACGTCGAAACGACGAGGTCGACGATAGCAGGGGCCGTGCTCGCGTCGACGAGGTGCTGGTAGACCGCGGCGAGCGCTACCTCGGCCCCCAGACGTCGGCCGCCCTCGTCTCAGCTCGGTTCTTCTCGTCTCCGGCGCCGTGACGTCACGCGGGGACGCGAAAATCCCGGCGGTGTCTCGTCTATCGATCGCATGCGCTCGCGCACGCGAGCGCCGTTGCGGCGCATTAGCGTGCGCACCGTACCGCACCTCATTCTCTCTCTCTCTCTCTCTCTCTCTCTCTCTTTCTCTCACTCTCAATCTTTTTCTCTCTTTCTCTATCTATCTCTATCTCCATTTGCTCGCTCGCTCTTTCATTCTTTATTTATCTCTCTTACACCTACGTATAGAGAGACAGAGAGAAAAAGAGAGAGAGAGAGAGAGACAAGCACGACACGTGGCTGCGCTTACCACTTTCATCTTCGTCTATTTCCTTCAATATATATATATATATATATATATGTTATAATATCTGCTTTTCTTTATCTTTTTCTTTTTTCTTCATTTCTATTTTTTTTTCTTTTATCTTTTCTTTTCTCCCACCCTCCCTCTCTCTCTCTCTCTCTCTCTCTTCTTAGTCTTTCTACTTTTGTCCTAATTCGTACATTTTTTTTCATTTTGCGAAGAAAAAAATGTCTGACCATTTTCTACTTTATTTACTTTTCTTTTCGCAGGATTTTTCTACTTTCTGTCTTTATTTCCTTCTTTTGTGTTTAATAGCTCGAAAGATTGTTTTTTTTTTTTTTTTTTTTTTGAATGTGCGACGTACGAACAGTTACTAAAAGGTTTTCGTAGATTTCGTCAGTTTTATTTTACGAAAAGAAATCAATCGGACGAATTTGTTTCAATAGGAAATTTTCTATCCCTTATTTCTTTTCCTTTTATTTTTGTTTCTCTTTAATTCTTCCATTCTCTCGTTCGA